CTTTCGTTGGTGTAAACTAGACGGCGGCGTTAAAACCAGCCACCCGTATAAAACAGCGATCAACCCATGTATTACAAAACAAAACAAACAAAAGAAGAACCCCGCCGCCGCCGCCCTCCTACTGTTACCATTCCCACTACCATTGTTACTATGATTGTGGTGGTGGTGGTGGACGTGATTGTTGTGATTACGGTTATGCTGCCACCACTTTATGCAGCAGCTTCCTCCACTACCGCCGTTCTCACCGTCTCCAGTAACCACCATATAACCCACCGTTGTTTTTTTTTTCTCTCTAAGGAAAAATCATCACCATTTTGCTTTCCTTCGTTTTTTATTTTTTTCCTTTTCTTTTTTTAGGTTTTATTTCTTGATATTATACGTATATTATTAAAGGCAGAGCCAAAAAATACCGTTACACTACAAAAATTATAGCACAAATTTACAAACTATCATTAAAATATTAATAATAATGAGATTGAAAAACTTTGCTTATTTGTTCAATAAATTGCGTTTTAAATTTTTTATGGGAAACATAATTTGATGTGTTTATGGGGTGGCATTGAGTACGCGTGATATTCACTTGCTCTACATGAACGCCACGTGTAAATTCAGTTGATATATTTGACACGTTGAGGCTTCACCGAGCGATTAAGCCACGTGATGGTACAATGAAAACAACCTTGAAAATTGACTGAAATTTTTGAAAAAAATGATTTATTGAGAATTTAATTATTTAATTATTTAAAAAATAAGTTATTTTTTCAAAAAAAATGTATTTAACTAAATTTTAAAAATTAATTAATAAAAATGATCAATTAGCACAAATATGAAAATGTAAAATCATTCTAATAAATTATGTAAAATATATTAGGCATTAGAATATAATTTGAATACGGGCCTTGGCCACCAAAAATGGTCAATTTGTGTTTTATTCCTTTTATATTTTATAAAAATTCCATGTATTTCAAACCTCAAATGATAGATCTATGGTTTAATCCCTTCAGAAATTATAAAATTTAATTACAATAATAAAATTATTTTTAACCACTCAAAAATGTTTAATTCAGTTTTGACATCATAATTTTCTTTTGGGCTGGTCTCCAATTAATAAATAAATTTAAATATACTGTTATAAATAATTATGTAAAATATGATATAAACGAAAAAAACATAAATATGTTATGCGTATATAAATTTATCAAAATTTTCATAAGATAAATTGTAAACATATAATATATTGTATTGGTACACGCATCAAGTAGGTCAAAAGGCAGCCGCAAAAACAACAATCATAATAATAATTTCAAGTCTTCCGGCACTCGAGTGCAGATCCGAGTTCCAAACGAATGAGACCATATTATATTAATCATCCTATCTCTCATCTTATTGTCTTCACGAGGTTTCTAAAGGAATTTTATAGGGCAACCTCCATGGAACAGTTATGCAATGTGCGGGGCCATTGATGAATCATCCTGAATTTTACATTTGTAAAATATTTTAGTTTTATATAAATTTAAAATTATTATATGAGTGAAAATAGGCCATTTAGATTAATAGTAAGAAATTATATGAAATTTATTATATTTTCATATAAAAGTATACTTCAATGTCCAATATCGTCATAAAACAATGTCCAATATAATTATGTGCCAAAATCTTAACATCTTTTTCACAGACTATATTATATAATACATAAATAAAATTATATTAGCATCATCATGTAATAGTATTCTTTGATGTCCAATATCATCATATGTAATAAAATTTATTTATATTTCCATTTAACAAAATTTATTTAAAATGCATTTAATTGAAATTAGGTACTTAGCTGACTTTTGTCTAACTTTAGGTGCACCTCTTAACATTACATTGACTTCAGGATATTATTAGATTTAAACACCCAGACTTTTGAGGAATCAAATAAATAATTCCATTTTAAATAAATAAATCACTTTTATAAGTTTTTAATATTTAATTTACATTGATAAATTTAATTTTTATTTTTTTAAATTACGTTTAATATATATATATATATATTGAAATAAATAAAAGTTCCTCTAGATGTGCCACGTATTGTGATTGATCATATTTTGGTGGCAAATGTCCGTCTAGATGTACTTATATCCGAGTAGGTCTTTGTTCGGCCTATATAGGCTTAAGGCCTAAATTATTCTACCACAACATTATGCCTACGGCTTTTATTAATTCACCAGTATTAAAAATTATATTGTCAATTAGAACTTTTTTAATTGACTAAAATGAAAGAAAATAGAAAAGAGAGAGTAAAAAAAATTATAATATATATATGAATTTCGCTAAAAAGATAAACATGTGTAGTGCATGTATTAGTTTTATGTTCTCTTTTTTATATATAAATCTGTTGAAATGAATACAGGGTATTTATTTTTATGTTCAATCACTTAATAGAGACATATTTAAAAAATTATACTTGAACATATGAAAAATCATATATTTAAATAATGTGAGATTTGAAAAGTACATACTTCTCAAATTTTATATTATATAGATATAAAAATATTTAACTATTTAAATATACATTTTTAGAATAATTAACCAAGTCCTCTACATGGATGATATGTATCACCATTATAATAATTGATAGTTAAGTCGATAGAAAATAACATTTAACTTTAATAGATGTATCTAGTTGATTTTTTTAATGGTCAAGGATTAATTGAATACGAAAAATCTATGAGAACTTATTTGATTTTCCATTTTTTTTCCTTAGGAATAAAATCGTCTTTAAACATATATTTTTAATAGTTCTATACTGCTTTATTTCTTTTAACTTTCTCGACAAATTTTCTTTCTCCTTTTTGGTTGCGAGTAAGTAAGTTATATTTATTTATTATTATTATTGTGATTGTTGTTATCGAAACCAATAGACGACCATAACTTTTATATAATAAAAAAAGGTTTGTGTTCTAATCATGTTGAGTTTTTTAGATTATGGGTTCAGGTTAAGTTCAAGTTTACGGTGAAAAATATCATATTCGATCCAACCTAAAGAATAATGTAGTTATATATGGATAATTGTAATAATAGTTTTTGTATTATTTTTTTTCAATTAGAGTATTATTTAAGTTCAATTATATCTGCGTGTGTCCGTGTGCGTGTGTTTATCGGGTTGAATCCCAACCCAACCTGACCATACTCATCCCTAGTTGCATGAGAGAGGGGTCCCCGTTCACATTTATAAAAATGCCCTTCTTCAATTTTGGTGGAAGTTTTGCTATGATAAAAAAATCAGAATCATCATGTAGGGACGAATGTGAGATCTGATATTAGAGAAAATGGATCTATAAAGTTTAAGAAAATGAAAATAAATTATCAATAGAAAATACAAAAAAAAAAATACTCTCTCCATCCCATAATTTGTGTCATATGACTATGCACATAGTTTTAAAAGATATATTTAATCAAAAGAAATGACAAATTATCCCTAAAAAGCGATTGATAGATTTATTTTGATAGACATAAAATAGTGGGACATATAAAGACAAAAAAATATAAGTGTTGTTTGTTGACTTTTCTATTAAGATATTTTGAATTAACTAATTTTAAAAATCAAAATAGACTCATTTAGTGAGACGAATGGAATATCCAAAATATATGAGAAATTAAAATTTCAACGAGTTCAAAGTGCGATTGCTCTACCAAGTCCTCGATATATACCTGTTAGGATGGACTCCGAGATGATTCACGCTGAAACTCGCGAGCCAACCAACGTTACTAGCTACAACTCCCTAATCTTTGGATTTGGTGCATGAATCTTGCTCCATCCCGTCTCCGATTAAAGCGCTTACGGTGATGCATAAGAAGAGCAGTGACTGCTTGTGCAAACCATTGAACAAATAAGTCCGCCTACAGCTACACAGGACTGGTTTCCCTTCATCCAATCATCCGTGTTTAGAGCAAAACAACCCGAGGGAGGCTTCCACCATGTGACCCACTTCGGCCCTCTACCCACTTGAAACACCAAATCAATTTGTTGCCCATCCACCCTTTTGAATTTTGATATCAATTGATTACTTTATGGTTCAAGGAAAACCAAATCAATCCATTGATCGTATTATAAAATTTACTGTTTCCAGTGTTGAACATGAATTAATGGATATGTATTACATATATTCATTTGATGTTTAATATTTTATAAATCTGTTTATATATAATATTTTTACCACGTCGGCCGCAAAATCCTTTTTATTTTTATCTTTTTACTTTAATTTAAGCCCTCTGCAAAATCTATGAACATTAAGAGGTCGCGTTTCTTTTCTCTTTTTTTAATAAATGAGAGTTTTGTTTTTCGGAATTAGAGAGAAGAAAATAATTAATATTAAGATTGATTTATCGCCATTAACCGGTTGACGTGGCGTTCAAAACATGTTTTCTTTCCTAATAAATCAGATCAAATATTTTGTCTTTAATTAAAATTTAGCTTATAAAATCCGTGGAACAATTTTGTCACTATATCGAACGTTTTTGGATAGCAATAAAAATCAATTAATAAGAGACGAAAAAAATGATAATAAAGAGAAAGGGAAAGAAAATTTGTCATTTAATGACTGCATATTCGTACCATTTAAAGAATATTTATTCATTTTATAAAAAAAACTAATATATTAAATTTCTTATGAAATATCGTATTTCCATTGATTGAGGTCCAGGAAAAGGTGACACACACACAATATCATGTAAGATTAAAATTTTAAATATTAATATTATAAATAGAATAAATTATATTAAAATAATATTTTTATATTTGATCTTAATAAATCAATTAATAACTTAAACATGGATGATTATATGAAAAAAAATATTATTTTATTATTAAAAATTATATTATTGTTTATACAGTACTCAATCCGGATTAATTGATTAATAGAACGGATACCGATGATTATACTAAAAAATTATAATATTTTATATGGATTAAGTCAAATGTTTGTCGTATCTAAACTTGCATTAATTGAAAATGGAAAGAAATAAAATGAATGTAACAATAGGTAAAGAAGAAATTAGTGTATAGAAGTAAAATAGGCAGCAAGGATGGAAGCAAGAGGAACAGAAATATTATCGTCAATTAAGTTAGAAATTGGAAGAGATTCAACCACAGTTGCCACTAGAGATACTAAAGCAACCCTATACATCGTATCTCCCCAATCCAACTGGAAGTAACCAAGAGCTGAGTAGTAGTACACCATCCTACATTCATTTACCAGCACAAAACTTTTATCACATCAAGTTCCATTTACCGAAATCAGACACGTGAAGATTAAATTAATCGATTCTGTATTAATTTGTAGGGAATTGAAGGAGCTCACCCGATAGAAATGAGGAAACCGGAAACAAACATGGAAATGCTGCCAACCCAACTCTTCATTTGATTATATGGAATTTTGGAAGACCCAAATTTTCTTCCCATTATATCTGCAACACCTATAAAATGCACACCTTCCAATAAATTTTCAATATTCATAATGTTATTTCTCATAAATAATCTGAGTTTGGACAGTTACATATGTAGAGGGTATGTTTTGTTCATTTCTAAAAAAGATTTTAACCAAATATTATTTTATATGTAAAAAATAATAAATTTAAAATCTATATCATATAAATTTTGAAATGTTTATGTTTTTTTCCTGGAAGGGAGAGAAATTTTATACCATCACCGCCGCACATCATACCCAAGGAGATGACACCCACTGGAGATTCACGCCAAAACAAAACTGCACATAACATCAGCATCACTACATAATATAAGGGCCCTCTAAGCAATTCCCTGCATTTAAAAATCAACCATTCCAAAAATCATTAACCCGTTCAAACATTAAATTATATTAAATTGAATTTGCACGATTAAAATTATTTCATATGTTACCCAAAATTATTTACTAAATATAGTTAATAAATTGGATGACTAAATACAAAGTATTAAATGTGTTTGTTTGCATGATTGTTTGTATTTATTCATTGATTTGCTTGATTAAATTATAATTTAAAAGGATATATTTTTGTTATGTTTCGAAAAATTAAGGTAAGATCGTAAATATTATATTCAATTAATACATAATTATATAATTATTAAATTTTATTATAATACAAATTGTATATCATAATAATAAGATAAATATGATATAAACATTAACATAAAAATTATTAAAAATAGATTATTGATGCATAAAAAATATATTATTTATTAGCATATAAAAAGTTAGTATGAACATGAAGGATATATATATATATATATATATTAAAAAATAGTATTAAAAATTAAGACATGAAACTAAGATAAATAATATGCACAAGACACATGTATTTGATTGTGTTAAAATTACATATAAATTATTAAAATATGAAAATTTATATAAAATTACACAACATTATAGAGTGAGAAAACATTTTTTTTAAATTTAAATCATTATGATAATTTATGTAAAACATGTAAAATAACATGAACATGACAGGCAGACATGAATACGTTAAAATTTATATAAAACAAATAAATAACTTATATAAAATATCAGATACAAAACTCTAAAAATTGAGATACAAATACGACACAGAAATATCATAAACACAAATATAAATATATGTACTTATGAATGATATCTAAGTTGGAAGAGTGTTTTTAAGGAAGAAAAAAAGTCTTAATTATTTTGGTTAATGAATGGTATTATAAAAAAATGATCAAATTGTGTAAAATTAAATTATAGAGATTAGATCTTAGATTTGAGTATAGTACAAAGGTCAAAACTACAATTTCACCCAAATAAGCATACGAAATTACTAAAATAGGATTTTGGTATATGAAATCGAGTACGGGGTGAAGATTTAATACTTTGGGACAAACATTGAGTGTTGTTGTTTTCTTGTACATATCGGAAAAACAAATAACTTTTCCTCAATTATTTGTTTTCCGTTTAATTTTCATAGTTACCAAATATAACGTAAACGGTAAACAACTAGAAAAAGATAATTTCAATTTCCTGGGTAATTCAAGTTGAGTCAACAATAATTTCAAAGTGAGAGAAAAATTACTTGGGATTTCCTTCTCGGGTAACAGATTTGATCAGGCTTTCATCATCAGCCAAAGAGAGACCATGAATTACGAGCCTTATGCAATTCACAAGTGGGACCAGTGATGCAAAGAACCGAGCTTCAACAGAATTGCTTTTTTCAAAATATATAAAATCATCAATCAATCAATTTAATTGATAAAATAGAGCTTTTTTTCCACCAGAAAAAATCAAAGTATAGAAGAAAAAAATTAAAAAAAAAAAAGTTTACCTGAAAATTGGCCATGAAATGGCAAAAAGTATTCCAGATGATATATGCACCAATTTTCTACTTAAACTCTGTTAAAATAATTAACAAAAAGACGAAAACGAATTTAAAAAATTGATAAAATGGAACACCTATTCTAACCGAAAAAGAGGAAGCAAAAAACCTGTTGAATGATTTCTTTTTGGGTGAGAATATCGAAGGTGAAGACGAGAGCATAAGCGCCAGCGAAGACAGCGGCGGAAGCGGCGATGTCACGGAAGATAGATGCAGTTGTAGCAGTGGCTGAGAGTGCGGTGGCGCGTTGGGGCACGCGGTAGAGAATATAGAATCGGGACGTGGTGGGGGTGCGAGGAGAGAGAAATAGAAAACGGGGAGGGGGAATAGGAAGAGAAAGAGGTGGAGTAGGAGGAGGAGGAGGAGAAAATGCGGCGGAATATACGTGGCGATTTAAGATTGGATTAGTGAAGGATAAGGAGAGATTCATCGCGACAGGGGAGGAGAAATAGAAAGAGAAAGAAAAGGTGTGAGACTCTGGCCTGAGCTTTGATTTGTTTTGAGTTTATTTTCTTTTTAAATTAGTTTAATAAAGTGAGTGTTATCCCGTTGGTCATCGATACAGTATCTATCATTCGTCGATTGATTTCATTTTAGTTTGAATAAAGTAATTATTTTCGTGATAAAATATTTATTATTATTTTTTGAGTTTGAGTATTATTAATGATAAGAGTGTGAGTATTCATTATTAAATAATTAAAAAATTATTTTTGAACATATATTATTTTGTACTTATATGAGATTAATTAAAAATATTAAACTATTTTTATTTTATGCTTAAATTAAAAATCAAATAATCTTTAATTGGATATTTATTTCTAGAGATAACACTTAAATTATTTATAAACTTTTAAAATTTTAAATCAGAGATAATTATTAAATCGAATTACAAATCATTTTATTAAAATTATTTCAATTAGTTTCATTTGCTAACCAAAATTCAATTATCCAAATGTATAGTAAATCGATAAAATTCTTAGATAGTGTATTAGAACAAAATTTGACTCATTTAGAGTATCAGAAAAATTAAGATAAAGTGTTTGTTACAGTGTTTCTGGGAAGACGCTTGAGCCACTCGATGTTTTTTGAAAGATGCATGAATTACTCGACGTTCTATGTATTATTACTCTACTAAATTTAATGATTTAAATGTATGTTGTATAAAGAAGATGTTGTGTCTTCCGAGCGTCTTTCCAAAAATGTTGAGTAATTTAAGCATCTTCCCTAAGACAATGAAACAAACACTTTATCTCAACAAATAATTCCCCCCACTCTAAATGAACTAATGTTTTTTCCAACATATTATCTAAGAAATTTTACCATAATAGATTGAACTTCTCAACTAAAATATAATATAATGATTTAAATAAACTTTATTAACATCATCATCATTATTATATCTAATATTTTTTCTCGAAATTTAAAGGATTGAATTGTGAGTATGACATAAAACATAAATTTGAATGAAAATAAAAAAAATGAAGAATGTTATATTATTTTTACAGTTAGATTAGGATAAATAAAAATATTTTTTATTTTAAATTTGTATTGTGTCCAAGATTAAATTGCGTATCAAAACTAAAGTCAGTGGTCAAATTGTACACAGAAATGCAGGAGATAAATTGTAGTTCAAAATCAAAGTGAGGGGATAAATTGAACTAAAAAAAGTTAGAGCTAGATTACATATCAAAACTAAAACTATATGGGCCAAAATGTAAAATTAACCCTTTTTATGGTTATTATTATGTTGGATTGGATAAATTTTAGAAATGCTATGTAATTCGGTTAAAAAAATTAACAAAAGGAGTAATTGACCCAAGGAATGAATGAAAAGTGTGAAAGTAGGTCCTGATTTATAATGTCAGGTCCAAGAAAGGACTGAAAACTGTAAAAGCTGAATTTGGCAGAGCTTTTGCCTTTTATTTTTTTGAAGGATGCCGTTTCAAGTGAAGTAGACTGTAACTAAATGTTACCTAACCTTTCTAACTTCAAATTTAGGTTTCAACAAAAATACGAGTGTACGGCATAGCATATGAAATAAAGTAAATTTATTATTGGGTTTGGTTTAAATGATAAATAATTTGATATCACTTAAGTAAGTTTTGAGTTCGATTCATTGTATATGTAGAAATCTATGTTGATAGACTCATCCACCATAATTAGGTGTACAACTTAGGTTGATATATTTAAATATTATAACACATACTCTCTCTTTTAGATTTTGAATTCAATACTTATTACGAATAAAATTTATTTCCCCTCTACCTAAATAAAAATTATATATATATATTGCATCAACCATCTTCTATTGATGTGGTGTTATCTACAAAAACACATATAATGTCATATCAATTGAAAACACTTCCTATAAAAGTCAATAAAGAGGAGTCATAAAAATTAAACCATGATTATTCTAAAATAAATTAAAAAATGTCTAAACTGTATTATTGTAAAATACATTATTTTACACTTATTACAATATACATTTTTATATATATAGTAAATAAAAAATTAATCTAAAATAAATCATATATATGTATTAAAATGGAAAATATTTTGTATTAAATGGTATTTGGGTTAAAAAGTCAATAAAGAGGTGCGAATCCCTATCATTAATAGCAACCCTTTGATCCCCCATATAAGTAACAATGATAGTTGCGCTAGTCTCCATGACATCAGTAAGTATAGGTTAAGGTGCTTGCATGTGAAGTTCGAAATCGGGTGCAAAGGATACATAAACTATCTCCATATTTTTTATTGCACTTGTGGTGGATTTTCAATCCTTGGCCATCTTGTACTCTTGACAACAACACCTCAACATGGCCGTTACATTTCACGGCTGTCATGACTATTTGACATTTAATGCCTGTCATGGTTGTCACAACTCTTTGATACAAAACAATAACATCAACGGGAAAGGTAGATAAAAAGAAGAAAAAAGTGAAGAGGTTTCAGTTTAAAGAGTAAAAGAAGAAGAAGAAGAAGGGTGGTGAAGGGATTTTAGTTTAAAGAGTAAAAGAGGAAGGAGGGGGTTGACGAGGGTTAGATGCCACATCAGCAAAAACTAATAAGAGGTAACGACATAGATATTGCTAAAAACGAACTAAGAGTTCGATGATTGTATTGTAAGTCTCAAAAGTTGAGTGACTAAACTGCAAACGCCCTAAAAAATTGGGTACTATTTATATAATTTACCCTAAAAGTTATATCATGATTGTTCTAAAATTTTACTATTTATCTAAGGATTGGAATGACTGCTGGTATTGGCTCTAACAAGTTTTGAAATGTTACTAGGAATATTGAATAATGAATATTCGTCTAAATATTCGTCTAAGGAAATCCATCATATCTATTTATTATTTGAACCGAAATCCGTTCAATTCACATAAATTGAATCCTATTATTTTATTGGGTAAATTACATGATTGATCACTTTCATTTAAATTTTATATATTCTTTGTCATTGAATTTTAAAATATAATATTTGATTATTTTTATTTTTATTTAATTCTGCGGTCATTGAGGATTAACTACCGTTATTCCTCACTGAAATCTCAAAAGTAAAAAATTGGTTATAAAAAACGAAATGAAGATCCCCGCTTAGTTTCTTTGCCTGCTTTCTTGTGATTGTACAGTCCAGTTACATTCACAGGCGAGTAAAACATCATCTTTGTTCCATCAGTTTTGCTTTTCCTGGTTTTCAGGGTCTTTCTTTTCTTCTTCATTTTTTTATCTTGTAATTTGGTTATGAGGAAAACAATGAGTTTTCTTTATTAGTTATTGTTGGGATCATTTAACTAATTGATGATTCCTTTTTGTGTTTTAAAAGTAACGAGAAATGTTGGAGGTAGAGAAGATGGTGAAGGAACTTCAGGAACAAAGAAGAAAGGATATGAAGTGGATAATGAACAATTTACCCAATGCTTCATCCCCCTCCCCATAGTCCTAATAATGAGGCTTATCAGCTTCCTTTCCTATTCCCTCCACATGTTAGTTATTGGTAGGGTTGAAGAGTGGAATAACACGGGGAGAAACTTGATTTTAATGGCTTTTTACATATATGATATATTTTGTTCGAGTAAAATCTTGTGATTAAAGTTTATTTTAACATGTTGCAATTAGTTTCCTTTGATGTTCTTTGTATAGTCAGAAAATATTCTCCTTTGCTCATCATTTCCTTGCAGTGTTTCATTTTACAAATTATTTATCCCTTCATACGTGTTTAGATGCCATGTATCATAGTTTTTGCTGCAGTTGGATCTTTTGGAATGGTAGATATGCATTTGATTTTGGATTAGATTGACTCTCTATAGAGATAAAAAACATCTGTGCAGAGATTTGGTGTCATTTCATAGGTATGCCAAGAATTTGACATTTGAAGTGCTTGCTCATGAGGGTTTGGAGTTTTTATTCTTGAAATGAAATTTGTATATGCAACATGTATTAACTGAAAGGGATTCATTAATTCAATACCATGATATTTGAATTTGTATCTTTAGATCCCTATGTTTCCCTGGTTAAGATCTGCTAAAATGATCAAAGACCAAAATGATATATTACTGTAAAACACTAACTTGCCATGGGAGTACAACGGTTTAGGTAGGCCTTTGAATTTAAGGTATTCTGAAGTTTTTTTAAACGGTGAAGATGACTGGTAACTAGAGCATGGATCATCTTCTCGTTTTTATGATCAATTTGTTACTTTTGGAATTTCGATAGAGAAAATAAAAATTTATTCAAACAATAGTGGCTATTTATATAGTTACCACGTCTTAATTAAACAAAATAAAATGATAAAATATTATGTTTTTTTAATTAAGTGAGGAAAAGTGTACAAAATTTAAAAGAAAGTGATAAAAAATGTAGTTTATCCTATTTTATTAGAGGCAAACCACATATTTAGTTATTTAATTATTCTCGTGGTTCTGTTTTAGTCATATAACTATATTTGTTTTTCTTCAAAAATCATACCAAAAGTTACGTTTTGGTTACTCACCATAAAAAAATAACAATGATGCCGACGTGTCACTATAAGATAATACCACATCATCGTTGAAAAAAATAAAAAAATATCACATTAACAGTTATGTTTATTTTTTTAACAATGAGTGATTAAATAGAACAAAAATATTAGTTAGTATAATTTAAAAAAATAGTTAGACGATGAAAAAAAAATCAAAAAAATAATTGAATAATTAAATAAGTAATCTATCCTTTATTAGTCCGGTAAGAAAGTTATACATTGAATCGTTGTACGTGAATTTAATATTTTTAGTACTTTAAATTTTTAAAGTTTAAATTTTAAACGTGGTTGACAACATTTAAAATTGTTAAATTAAATTCTACTACTAGTTTATGTAATTTACAAGGTTGTATATTTGATTTATATTATTCAATTTAATTATTTAATGTCCTCAAAGTTTAATCGTATTATTTCTATACTATTTAAATTATGATTAAAGTTTTAAAATTAAATATATG